CCTTGTCTTTGCTTAGACTACATGCAAACTGAAATGGACGAACCCGTTTGAAATGGGGGTGGTCTGGCTTCTTTTGTTAGCCTGTAATACCCAATACCTGTCTATGTATCTGAAAAGGGGATGTCGTTAAAGGGAATTGTTGGCCTGGCTGAACAGCTGAGCTCTTCTGTTCTCCTGTAAAGGGGTTGGGGCTGCCATAATAGCGAGAATGGATTAACTCAATTGCTGAATTGTAGGAAAGCTGAAATCTGAGTCCACCCCCTCTGTTTAAGGTTGGATTCTCTTTCTTAAAGGGAAATGAAAAGATGCTAAGTATCCGAGGGAGAATGGTGCTGCTCCAAAAGCAGCGGTTCACTGTGAGAGCGGCTCTGACTGCAGCTCCGCTCACTGCAGCAGGCATTCCCAGCCCCTAGTGGTGTGCGAGGGTACTGCAAGGGGGTACTTGGAAATATTAGATTTCTTTGGTAGCAAAATAAAACAGAACTGGGATCTGTTTTGTACGGAGGAGGATTAGGGCCACTGGAAAAAAGAAAAGAAAAAAAAAGTTAACTGATATTTAAATATTATTTCAGTTTAATATGGGAAAAAAGTCAGAATTCTGATTTAACCTCAGACTTTTTTCTTAGAATTCCTACTTTAATCTCAGATTAATTTAATTAATCTCATTAATTTATCCTGTCTTTCCAGAAATATATTTCTAAAAGTTTGAAATTGTAGAGAAAATTAAAAAATTTTTAATAATGGGCAACGAGTTGAAGGCACAAACTAAACTGCTCATAATTTATTCTTTATGGTACGCCAGCATTCATAACATGTAGGCCAATCACCGTCCCCCATAGGGCTGGGTATTTTCACCAAAGTCCTGAATCGATTCGAATTTGATTCATACAGTTCTAAATCGATTAATTTTGATTCAATGTTTTTACAGTAATGAAAGTGGTTCAACTGTGATTCTAAATACTGATGTATTTTATTTTTTCCTGTCATATTAAACACAAAGTGCAAACTTGTAAATCAGACAGTTTGAACTTGAGGTTTGAGCAAAACTGTCTCAAAAGTTTGCACTTTTGAGACAGTTTCGTTTGTGAAAAGTGAAAAAGTTTTGCAAAAATGTAAAGGAATCAATTCAAAATCGATTAAATCGATTTTTTTTTACCCAGCCCTAGTCCCCCAGACATCTGTGGTTATATTTTTTTTTATATATTTTCATATATTTTATATATGACCTTGTAATTTATTGAGTTTATAGCTTGACTCATTAACAGATATTTGGATTATTGCCTGTTGATCTCCAAGCATAGATACATTCTCCACATTTTAATTTGCTTTAATTTCTCATTTTATGTGCGTCCACACATAATTAGCTAGACAGCCAATTGGGTCCTTTTTAAATTCCCTCATCGTGGGAATTTTAAAAGTTTTCATGTTGACCTGTTTCTGTTTGCTTTTAAGTTAATGTTAGATATTTTTATTAAAATACAGCAAAGACCCTTATATTTACCCCTTTGCCTTTCTTTCTACAGTAGCTCACAAGGGACAAACCAATATATTAATATATTGATGCTGATGCTATTAATGCAAAATACAAAATAATATTTAAAAAAACAACAAAACACTAAAAGTTCCTATTTTTTTCACGACAGTTAATGCAACAAAATTCAAGTACTTATGAAAAGCTCCAAACAAAGACCAGAGGCGTAGCCAGAACATTTTTATAAGGGTGGCCAGGCAATAACCACTGAGGGGTGGGCAAAATTAGATAGGCACCAAAAAATTAGCGAGCAAAACATCCATATTTTCTAAATAAAAACAAATTATACTTTCCCACAGCCTTTGCTAACAAATAGATGAATATATTTAAACATCTGTGCTTTCTAGATAAAAGGTATAGTGGATAAAATTCTTTCAGGTTTGAGTTCTGGAGCGAACATCTTCTCCATTGTCATTACTTAACTACTTTTATCAGTAATCATTCTGCATAGAATTGACATTAACAAGTACTAATATCTACAATAAATGATTATTTAATATGTTTTATTAAAATTGTTGTTTATCTATGATTTCACTTAAGATTCATAGATGACTTGCAGAGACACATCATTTTCTCTTTACCCCATAAAACACAAAATCTAGTTCTGAAAAGAGCATTAATTCTGTACTCATCATCTTTAATGTTACTATATTGATGTGCATAATATACCACAATGGTTTTGTCGTCAAGTAATTGTTAATATATGAAAAATAAAAAGATTTTGAATTATCCACTTGAGAGTATTACTGATGCCACCATCTGTATTAGAGGGACATAAATGGTAGGGGTGGCCATGGCCGCCCCTGGTCCCCCATCTAGCTCCGCCCCTGACAAAGACAAGACAAACACATCAAAACCTGGATCAAGTTCAACATCGCATGAATCCACAGCAGATAAAGCCTCCTCTGTCTGCTGAATCAGAATAAAATAAAGTACCAGCAATGGATGACATCAGCTGATTTTGTTGAGCGAGCGCAGCGTCACCGAGCTGACAGTTAAGGCCTCAGCATCATCCAGTCGCTCTGCAGCGGATCAGCTGAGCCTCCAGCAGCCAGACGTTGTTCCTGCAGCGAGAGAAGCAGGAGCTAAGCTAATAGCAGCCGGCTACAAGCATGTCCGACCCCAGTCCACAGGCGCTTCATGCCCCGAGCGCGCGGAACCCGCACCGTGACACTGCGGATGTCATATGTCTACAAGACGGGCAGCAGAGTCTGGACCGAGCTCCATCTTCACGAGCTGTCGGCCTGCTTCCTGTCCTGAGGACTAGCAAACGCAAACTGGATGAAACCCAAGCTCGTCTATTTATGATGGACCAGTCACTCCTTCACAATTGGGCTTCATTGCCGAGTATGGAGTAAAATGAACAAAGATCGTCTATTAAAAACATTTAGCTTCCTCCTCTCTCCCCCAGTTAATGATATTTTTAAATACGTATTGATGTAATGTATAAACTCAATAAATTACATCCATAAAAGCTTTTAAGGGTTTCAGAAATTCGAGTGTAAGTTTACGGCTGTGTAAAAAAAACATTTTCTAATTTAAAATACCATATT